CAGCCTACGTGGTAGTGATTTTATCGAAAGAAACTTATATGTAATTTTTGCAGAATGTGAGACTGAGCCCCTTGGAGCTCTTTTGCTCGGAGGGATGCTGGGTTGCCCCAGCCCCTCCCAATTATGTTATCGTTGGGAAAATTGGCCTTCCGGCTATGGACATGCTGCAAGCTTTCAAGGTAGAGCTTAAAATTTGGACTAAACCCCTATTCCAATGAAAAAAGATATTTTTACTCTAGAAATTATTTTGAGGGCCCTTTTTTCTTTTGTCGTAATATAAAACACGGCCTAATCACACTATATCAAATTATGTTACTGCGTACAGCGTATTAAGGGTGGTGGTCAAGAATGGTCGGGTTCACATATTTAATTCACAAACCAGGAGACACAAAGGTCATTAAACCCATCTTATAGTGAAACTAGTATCCCACACCCTTTCCCCCTCCCCTTTGCCCATGATAACTACTTTCACTCCCATCAGGTGGATCTGTATATTTAATTTTACCTTAAATAGGAAATAATTGCACGTACATTATTTTTCATAGCTTGTTATACTCTCAGCATAGGCCTATATATTAAAACAGTGAACAGGCTCTGAATGAAAAGTTATACCTTTTTGAACAAGTTCAATGCATACACATGCATAATAATATGGGATTAATGTAAAAATTTTCTGATTTGGTGTATTTCCTGGCATGTTCTAATTTGATGCTTCAAACACATCATCCAAAAAATAAACATTGTATTATTCAAACCTTGAAATTTGAAATTCAACTGATATCTGTGTATAGTTTAAGTGGTTAAAATATCATTACTAGGCCTATAGTTTGATATCCAATATAATTGCTGTAATATCAATATAAACAGATAATCTGTTGGTATTGGTCAACACGTTCATGGGGTATGAGGTCATTTGCAGTTGTCCACCTTTAGAATAAACTACAATTTAGTATTCGCTCAAGTCAATCCACAGCGATGTTAAAGAGCGCTCTATAGACGCATTTACTGTCTGCTGATTTTATTGAGATTATTAGTTTTCATTTTCCACTTGCTTTCTATCTTTATTAGTTACCCCTATTATTTGAGCACATGTGAGTTATGTACTGGCCGCCCTTTGTGCCTCAAAATTGCCTGTAATTGGGGGAGGGTTTGCAAACTTAATAAAGTAAAGTTTTATAAAAGCGTTTTGGGCTCAGATTTTCAACCCTGGGGTCGGGGGTTTGAAACCCTCGCAGTGCAAGTCGTTTTGTCCTTAGGCAAGACACTTTATCTACTTTGTCTCTCTCCACCCAGGTGTATAAATGGGTACCGGCATATGCTGGGAAGGTAAAACAAACTGCTGTGAGGAGTGGCGAACCCCCATAGTCTTGCACAGTCTGGCCTAAGGAAAGAGATAATGCACTTCGGGCCGGTCGCGAATTTTTTTTTCCTGAACATTTGAGGCAGTGGAGATTGGTAGCGCTACAGATTCAACGTAACGTCTCCTTGATGCAATGAATATTTTATAAGAGTTTCCTGCGCCTGTCTCTTATACACATCAGATGTGTATAAGAGACAGATATATGTGTGTGTGTGTGTGTGTGTGATGGGAGGGGTGCGTCTGTGCAAGTATTATCGACAGACATTAATTGAAGAGAACGAGGGATTTTAATCTCCCTCCCACATTCGTAAATTATTACAAAATCTACATGCAAATCAGACAATTTTCGAAAACCATTTTCCATCAGCAGTGTGAAGCTTGCTTGTTAGGTACATGTATTTATAACAACTTTCACCCACGTATGTTAATTTTATTATGGATACATTGTTACTTATCCTAACAGCTGGAAAACATTCTCGCTATAATCGTAATCAGGAACTTTAATAGACAGCGTGATAAGTTATATAAGTGCGATAATTGTTTGTTTAAAGAGGGTTTTTCCAATTCAGCCTCTGTAAGTTTTAATTGGTAGGAAGAATTTGAAGAATCCAAAAAAACAGTGAACTGAAAAAGAGGGGTTTCCCAAATCATGAAAACACCCCCTGGCTGTGAGCCTGATTATGTTCTAACACATCCACATATTATTTCTAATAGGTATGAAGGTCCAGCAAATGTCTGTGATCCAATAAATACATGTTCTTGCATTGCCGAAGTTTTGGGTAAGTTGCCAAAAAATTGTTTTAAGTTAAGCCGGGCACTCATTGCGCGCGAGGTCCATTCTATAAAGAACACAACATCAATACGCACGCTCAACAGATTTTATTGACTGCCATCGACAATCACCAGCCAGCGTCACCGCATCGTCTAGCGCAGCGTTCCGCAAACTTTTTACTTCACGGCTTATTTACGATTCCAAGCACTATGCCGCGGCCCAGCAGTCCACATGGGCATTCGGTTATCAAGAAATGTGTGGTGTTGTTTACTGTAGTGATCTTTCTAGGACAGGTCTTATATTTGTTTTTATCTTTAGCTCATGACTTATCCAATCATTCCTCCATACCGGATTTAATCGATCTTACTGGTTAATACTAGACGATAACATGGTGTCTAGCTCCCGAGGGGGCATAGGCACAAAAACCGCTCATAACTGAAATAACATGCACCATTTGGCACTTTAGCAGGTGTGCATGCGACGCATTCGCTGTAACAATGAAGCGGCTTTATTAAAATCTATTTTCTCCATGATGCAACGTCTCTTTGTTTTTTGTTTTTGTTTTTGTTTTTTTTTTCGATTTCCAGACGGCTTCGCGACCCTCCAAAAATGATTCGCGGCCCAAATTTGGCGTTCTGCAAACCATTAGTTTGCGGAACGTCGGTCTAGCGCTCACAGGGAGCGGAGTTGGATTCTTCGTACGACCGTCGTATGACGCAGTAAGTGCCCGTCTTACAGCCTACGTGGTAGTGATTTTATCGAAAGAAACTTTGTTGTTGCTCTCCCCTCGTACATTCAGGACTCCACGGACTGTTCTGGCTACACTTGATGTTTCGTCATTATATACTAATATCCCTCATGAAGAAGGTGTTAATGCGTGCATTTCAAATTACAAGCAAATTCGGGGCAAAACCCCATCTAAATCACATCTCGGTGAACTTATCATGCTGATTCTGACCAATAATAACTTTGTTTTCGGCGACGGTCATTACCTTCAAATTCATGGCACAGCGATGGGCACCAAAATGGCTCCATCTTTTGCTAACTTATTTATGGGACAATTTGAGGCCAATTTCCTGTCCCTACAGCCCAAGAAACCGGATGTTTGGTTTCGCTACATTGATGATATCTTCATGATCTGGACCCATGGTGAAGATAGTTTGGATATGTTCCTATTGAACATTAATTCGGCTCATCCCACAATCAAATTCACTGCTAACAGATCCACAAGCAGTGTAGATTTTTTGGACATTACCGTGACCATGGAAAATGGTGAACTTAAAACTGATCTCTTCCGTAAACCCACGGATAAGCATTATGTACCTGCTCCCTAGCAGCTGTCACCCCCGCACTGTACAAAAAACATTCCGTACAGCCAAGCATTGCGCATGGGACGCATTTGTTCTTCGGATTTAGATTTTCAGAATCAAACAGAAGAACTATCCGGACATCTCCGGAATAGAAATTATCATCGAGGACCAATTGAAAATGCTATAAAAAACGCAAAGGACATACCTCTGTCTCTTATACACATCTAGATGTGTATAAGAGACAGAATAAACACAACAACAAACTTTAATACTAATAAAAATAATGGTCACTGCCTATCACCCTAGGTTACCACCACTAAGGGCTATAATTCAGAAGCATATGCCCATTCTACAGACCACAGAACGTCTTAGGTCTCTTTTTCCGGATACACCGTTCATAGCCTATCGCAGACCACCTAACCTTCGTGATATATTAGTACGATCTAAATTCAAGAGGCAAACTAACTCTTGCGACAACCGTAATTTGGGTAGTGCAAAATCATGCAAAACATGCTCCTTGCTTGATTCTACACAATCATTCAAGAGCAACCAAACAATCCTGATTATGTTTTAACACATCCACATATTATTTCTAATAGGTATGAAGGTCCAGCAAATGTCTAAGGTAGTGATTTTATCGAAAGAAACTTATATGTAATTTTTGCAGAATGTGAGACTGAGCCCCTTGGAGCTCTTTTGCTCGGAGGGATGCTGGGTTGCCCCAGCCCCTCCCAATTATGTTATCGTTGGGAAAATTGGCCTTCCGGCTATGGACATGCTGCAAGCTTTCAAGGTAGAGCTTAAAATTTGGACTAAACCCCTATTCCAATGAAAAAAGATATTTTTACTCTAGAAATTATTTTGAGGGCCCTTTTTTCTTTTGTCGTAATATAAAACACGGCCTAATCACACTATATCAAATTATGTTACTGCGTACAGCGTATTAAGTGTGGTGGTCAAGAATGGTCGGGTTCACATATTTAATTCACAAACCAGGAGACACAAAGGTCATTAAACCCATCTTATAGTGAAACTAGTATCCCACACCCTTCCCCCCTCCCCTTTGCCCATGATAACTACTTTCACTCCCATCAGGTGGATCTGTATATTTAATTTTACCTTAAATAGGAAATAATTGCACGTACATTATTTTTCATAGCTTGTTATACTCTCAGCATAGGCCTATATATTAAAACAGTGAACAGGCTCTGAATGAAAAGTTATACCTTTTTGAACAAGTTCAATGCATACACATGCATAATAATATGGGATTAATGTAAAAATTTTCTGATTTGGTGTATTTCCTGGCATGTTCTAATTTGATGCTTCAAACACATCATCCAAAAAATAAACATTGTATTATTCAAACCTTGAAATTTGAAATTCAACTGATATCTGTGTATAGTTTAAGTGGTTAAAATATCATTACTAGGCCTATAGTTTGATATCCAATATAATTGCTGTAATATCAATATAAACAGATAATCTGTTGGTATTGGTCAACACGTTCATGGGGTATGAGGTCATTTGCAGTTGTCCACCTTTAGAATAAACTACAATTTAGTATTCGCTCAAGTCAATCCACAGCGATGTTAAAGAGCGCTCTATAGACGCATTTACTGTCTGCTGATTTTATTGAGATTATTAGTTTTCATTTTCCACTTGCTTTCTATCTTTATTAGTTACCCCTATTATTTGAGCACATGTGAGTTATGTACTGGCCGCCCTTTGTGCCTCAAAATTGCCTGTAATTGGGGGAGGGTTTGCAAACTTAATAAAGTAAAGTTTTATAAAAGCGTTTTGGGCTCAGATTTTCAACCCTGGGGTCGGGGGTTTGAAACCCTCGCAGTGCAAGTCGTTTTGTCCTTAGGCAAGACACTTTATCTACTTTGTCTCTCTCCACCCAGGTGTATAAATGGGTACCGGCATATGCTGGGAAGGTAAAACAAACTGCTGTGAGGAGTGGCGAACCCCCATAGTCTTGCACAGTCTGGCCTAAGGAAAGAGATAATGCACTTCGGGCCGGTCGCGAATTTTTTTTTCCTGAACATTTGAGGCAGTGGAGATTGGTAGCGCTACAGATTCAACGTAACGTCTCCTTGATGCAATGAATATTTTATAAGAGTTTCCTGCGCTGTTTGCAAGTCTGCAGTGTTTACACACGAGACACGATTAAGCCACGACAACGACATATCATCGCGCAGTTTGTATTCTTCAACACTGCGCGCATCTGTATCATCGTGTCGTTGTCGCGTCGTAATCGTGTCTAGTGTAAATGGGGATTTAAGCGATATATCCAAGGCTCGATTAGGCCTACCATGTAGGCATCATGCAACAACGACTAGTATCACTGTAGTAGTCTTATAATGAAGAGTAATGATTGAACGCCCACAGATTTGGACCCTTTTTAAAAAATTATAACAGAACATGTCTAAAATAAATAATTATTAGGCTATTATCTACAAAATTATAAACACTGTTGCGGCCTGTTGCGGTTTTTTTTTTTTTTTTTTTTTTTTTTAGGAATGTATTGTCACTCAGGCGTGTATTGTATATGCACCAACATAAAAAACTCACACGAAATTAAATGTGTTGCACTTGACGTAAGTGCACAAGTATATAAACCTAGGGAATGATGTTTGCCCTACCTGACGTGGTATATGTACTGAATGCTCAGTACTCTTAAATACTTGCAAAAAACAATCTCGCACGTGATTCGGGTTTTTTTCGCAACTTTATTTGGGAATGTACTAAGCATTCAATACGATACCACGTCAGATAGGGCAAACATCTTTTCGTATTATTTATCCTCACGCAAAATGCCATCGGAGTATATAAACTACAAAATGAAATATAATACAGTAACACTACTAATAATAGTACAGCATTACTCGTATAAATATTTTATTCTGAGGCAGATACATAAATTGTTTGATTTCTTATTATGTGAATCGATGAATCTGCTATGAAGCAACTTATTTCATTATATATATATATATATATATATATATATATATATATATACATATGTGTGTGTGTCTTTATAGTAGGCCTAATGAAAATAATAATTATATTACCATAATTATAATGTAGTTGGTCTTTTGTGTATCCGAATAAATATTTAGTATTATTGTGTTTTTTTTAAATTTTATGTAAAATAATGTATCCGAAATCATTAAAAAACACACAGTACTGTAAAAGATCACAGTAAGTAACATGGTAACATTATAATTAATTGTAAAATTTAAAACACATTGTTTGTATTTTTTAAGTTATGTTAATTACTTAGAAAACAAGTCCCATTAACTTATATCAGCAAAGTTGATAATGATAATATTGGTCGTCATCATCGTTATCGTCACCATTGGTATTATTCAATTATTGCCATTGTCATGATAAATATTAGATCTTTATTACTGCGCTTATTAATACTGTACTTTACTGCATTTACGTCAAGTAGTCCTAAATATATTTCGTAAGCCTACAACTTATAAGTATTTTTATTTTGGTATGCGTGACTGAGATATATTCCTAAAAAATAAGGCCTAGGCCTAGACCTAACTGTATACAATATTTTATTTGTAATTATAGCCTAATCATTATTCATTTCAAAAATAGGCCTATGTATTTCAGAAGTATAATAAAAGGAGAGCTAATTAAGTCTGTGGTGTTCAACACTCTTCATTCTCGCCATGCCACTATCGCATCATATGCCATCAGCTCTTACTGTACGTGTGTAGAAACCGCTCTGACAATAAGAATATTCATGATTTATTGCCGAATCAGGAAAGTGATATTTTGAATCTATAGCGCCACCAATCTCCACTGCCTCAAACGTCCAGGAAAAAAAATTCTGTGGGCCCAGAGCTTCAGGTTTCGAAAGTTACCTTTACCAATAAAGGTATTTTGTGTATTTCAGATGGAATAAATAACAATACGTTTCGGTGTAAATGCTACCGCGACTGCAAAGACATTTCCTACGACACCAAGGTATCATACGCCAACATCCCAAGTTACAGTATTAGTAACGGTACTCAAGAAGCTTACAACGTATCCGCAGAATTTGTAAAGTATGTTTCAATAAAAGGTCGTTAAAGATGCAATATCAGTCAAAAAGACAGGAAAATACCTCAAACATTCAAATAAAATATCTTGAATAGCTCATTTGAAAGATGAAACAAAATATTAGCTTCAAACGAGAAACAGATCAAAGCAAAGTAGTTCTCACCAATTTACAGACATTTTTCTAAGAAAATCTTTAAATTGATTGCCATCCAATTTTAAGGATCTATGTAAAAGATTATTGGAAAATTATTATTTACCTCTTAATTCAAATTTTTAATTTTAAGTAAATAACTTACTTAAATATGCAAATTAAGCAATTCAAATGTGGAATTAAAATGTTATTGACATGACTCTAGTGCATCTAAGTGCTCCTAGGCCACAATAGCGGAGAATACACATCTAGGTATGATGGTGTAGTAATGAAGATGACAATGACGACAAGACGAGACTTTTTCTATTCCTTGTTTCGCATACTCATTTTTTTAAAGATCATCGGAGGAGGGCAGAATAAAAATAAAAATAACATTTTGCTTTCTAATTTAGCAAAAACATCTAGACGGAGGAGAAAATAAAAATTAAATTTTATAGGTGAATGTAAAATGAGATGGTTAAATGCTTCTAATTTATATAATTAGGTGAAAATATACATATTTTGTCTTTAGAGATTTCAAGGGAGCGGAGGGCGTAATAAAAACAAAAATAAAAACTTAAATTTTTTTTTTCTGAAATTTCCATTTTTTGTGGCGGCGGGTGCGCGATTAGTTATTGGCCAACAATAACATTTTATTTTTATTCGAAATTATCAATATTTGCGTTCGGCGGGTTCGCTAAACAAGTATTAAAAAAGTCTCGTCTGATTGGAAATTGTAATACATTTAATATGGTCATAATAATGGTGGTGCGGATTATAGGCCTTGTGATGATGATGAAATGATGCCGGTGGAGGATAATGATAAATTATTATTTATGATTGATGGTGATGATGATTATAATACTGAGCATGCTATTGAAGATTACGGTGATGATGATGATAATGATAATAATATTAATAATGGTGGTGATGATAATGATTATGATGATGACTGTACAATAATACAAACATGGTAATAATTATGATTATTGTGATAATGAAATTATGAAGTGATGATAATTAAGTGATATGGATCATTATAATGATGATTATGATGTTAATGATAATTATGAGAATTATAACGACAATTATTTTTATAATGCTGATGGTGGCAGTGATGATGATTGAAATAAATGTGTATGGTTATCGTATAAAAATGATGCAGTGTGTTGTGGTGATTGTCTATGCTTGAAATGTAGTAATTATGTTGTTTTATAACACACCTAAATAGAACCCTGTCATTTTGATTGGTGGATTTCGTATCACGTGACATTGGCTTACCCCATTTCGTCACTCATCATGGAAATTTAGTTCCATCGCGTGCATTTAGTTCTATCCGTGCATTTTCTTTCTATCCGTTTTTGCCCATTGCATGTCGAATAGGATACAATATAACTTCAACCTATATAATGCATTCTTTTGATTCGCTAAAAAGACGCTGAACTGTTCCATTTGGAAAAGGGCTAGATTTTTTCATAATATATTAAATGACAAGAATATCCATTCAGAAAAAGGTAGACTTTTTAAATAAATTATCAACAGACAAGAATCTATCTTAGATGTGTTATAAAACAATTAATGTTTTTTGTTATTCGTATAATGGAGAGAATATTATTGTTCGTTTTAAAAATGGACTGTTCCATTACACTTCGCGGCAGTCAATCTTTCAACTCATGAAAATCTTCTTCCCATTGTTACTCAGAAACATTCATTTAATTTAATGTTTTTAACTACTGTCGTTCTATCATCTGTTTTATTCCATTTTATGAATTTTATTCTGCTTGTTTTCTGTCATGATAACATTTGCAGTTACATTTCTGTGTTTTCAAGGACTCAATGGAAATAATTTTTTTTTTTTTTGGCTTTTCCTTGTAATTAAGGTCGTGTTTTTGTGCAATTTATGAGTCTGATTACGAATAAATTCTTTATCTCTTTATACTTTCATAATAGGAATAATGTTGTTATGTTGGATGTGTATTATCCTGTAATAAGGAAACAAGTTTATAAACAAACAAAAGCTATGACCTTCTTAGCCTTAATGGGTAAGTATCTGGTATTGGTATGGGCATTTATAATGCGCTTTTTGATTGTGGTTATAAAGTTTGCAGTAAGGAATTTGAAAACAAGGAGCATGGGAAGGGTATGCTTAACAGTGAGTGGTGTATCTATGAATATTCAAATGATGGGGTCCAAAGGTGAATTAAAGTGAGGGCTCGATGATTAAGCGGTGGTGGTATAAGGTGATTTTTTTGGAGAGCATGCTGGTTTCCCACCGGACATTTACCCCCGGACACTTTCCCCCGGTATATTCTTCCCCCTGTGACATTTTTCCTAGACTGATTCCCCCTAGGACAATTTTCCCCGGACATTTTCCCCCCTTTATAAAGCACAAATTTAAGTACAAGGAATATCATCAAGATTTTAATATACCGGTATCATCTCTTTTACTAATGTTTATCAGATCAACTTCACAAGTAACAACAATTATTTAAATGGTAATATTTAATTAACAAAAACAAACATAAAAAAGCCAATATGAATTACATACATTAAGCCTTTAAGTTTACTTGAATTTGCTAATTGTTAGTTACTATTTTCTTCTCATATATAATTTGTTGTTGTTGCTTACTTTTAATTATAATATAACACATAGCAATATTGACAATTTGATAATAATTAGATACAGTAGTAAAGTAGTAACTAAAAATGAGCAATTGCAAATAAAGTAAGCTTAATGGCCTAATGTATGTAATTCATATATTGCTTTTATGTTTGTTGTTGTTAATTAAATATTACCATTTAAATAATGTCCGGAGGGTAACCAGCCTACATCCGATTTTTTGCTATATGAGCATATTATTTTTTGCTTTGAAAATTTTAAGTTGTTTTGTGGGGGTGGGGGCTGGGGTGACTATCTAGAGAACGCATCTGTGAGGGTGATGAACCTGGTAAAATCTAACACTGAGCGTGGATTCTATATGCTTATGAAATGTTGCTTCTCATAGAGCTGAGATTAAGGAGACTTTGACTTCCGACGACGTAGAACACAATGACGTCATATTAATTTATCTGTGCATGTCTGAACATTGTGCATTATGTTCTCACTAAAAATCTAGGACAGTTGTCGGCCAATTCACTGACTTCAGTGAGTCAATGGAAGTGGGAGCATACCCTATAATGGTTAAATTTGTTATGCCAACTGTGTTGTCGTTGAACAGCAAACTAAACACTGAAATGGAAGCGCTGCTTCCAAGAGTATGTGCGAAATGCTCCTCTTCTCACTGCTTCTCTCTACAGTAGAATAATCGGGACATCCACTGCCAATCGGATAATTGATATTGAAGGTTACACAATCTCAATGATTAAAGTTTAAATGCATTTGCATACATACGACCGGTATAGAAGAAACTTGCATTATTTAAATTTAATTTGTTAAACGTACAGCAGTTATTTGAAGAGAAGAAAACTAAAAACCATGTCGGTCTGAAAAAAAAGCATACAGTACATTTGTATTTTGGCTATAGAACGCAGTCTTTAATTGTAGAAACAAATCTTTCCCACTAGCAGGTCATAACATACCCTGTTTTTCCTACAGTCCGCTGCTGCAATACGGTAGTATTAAAACACATTTGTATGTTTTATTTATTTTTATCTTTATATATTGGTTATTATATACTTTTATAATTATATCTATTTAATTTACTTATTTTATTAGGTGACATTGGTGGAGAGTTGGGATTGTGTGTTGGAGTGAGTTTCATTACAGTTGTTGAGATAATCGAATACCTGACCTTGAAAATTAGGAGGTACATGAATGGAAAAAGGGGAAAGAGAAGGAATAAGAAAAATAAAAGCAGTGTCGTCTCACCACAAAATGGTGCACACGGTGTGGAAATTAATAGTTAACATTAATAGCTAATTGGTCTTTGAATGGCTTTCTTAAACCGGCCACTCACTACGCCCGGCGGTCTTCGCCGACAGGATTCTATGGAGAACGCAACGCAACGACGCGCATGAACAGATCGTTTTTAATGATGCTAGCCACAGACAATCAACAGCGTCAAATCATCTAACGCTCACAGGAAGCTAAGTTTGATTCGTCGGCTGACGGTCGCGCGACTGTCGTACGACGCAGTCAGTGCCCGGCTTTAGGATCAATAGATCCCGCAATATGTAAATATTTTAAAGTTTGGATACAACCTGAAGCAAAACTATACATACCGTAAAGTTTCAAATAGAAGCCCCGTATGGGCTTAATCTCGAGCAGCCCATCTCGAACAGAAGCCCATGGGCTTTTATTCAAGATAATATGGGCTACTTTTGAGACAGTACTTACATACAGACTGGCGTTATCTTTGATTATTATTATAGCGTGTCTGTAGTATTTTATTGTATATCATAGTTAAAATTTTAAAAATATTACACAATTTCGAATTTCATAGTTAACAAATATCGTATAGTAGCAATTCCAAAATTTACAGCATTAATTGAAAAAAAAAGCCCCCTCTTTAGTTCGTAATCTAAAAAAAAAAGCCAATTTCGATAACAAGCTAATGGTTTCTCTTCGAAGTTTATCAGTGAACAGTAAATTTACAATAAAGCTGTTCCCTGGGTTTATGGTATTAACACAATAAGGCTGGGTGAACAAACTCTGCACTAAAACACTTCTTAACACTTCTGTAGTAAGAAATGTGGCTTTATAAGTAGGTTATCACAATCCTGTTTACGCATGGGGCGAGCGATGGGCGCTTACTTAACGCACCCAAAGTTGGAAAAAGGTTTAGACAGAATATACCCTAGAAATTGCAAATTGCAAGTGAAGTGCTGCGAAGTACAACTGCATATAAATGTTCTTCGAACAAAATTATTTATGCGAGTCAAGTGAAAATAATGAATATAAAAAAACTATAACAAATAATATGAGACACGACCCATTGTCTATATTAGAACACTTCTCATTGAGTAACAAAGTCGTAATTTTTCATTTTTGTCAAAAACTGTTTCAGGATCACATTGTCACTTAAATCAAAAGCTCCCTTATTTCCTGTCTCTTATACACATCTTGGAGTACAATTCAAAAAACAACTATAGGTCTAATAATGAATTATTGTGATGTTAAATAGACAATGTTAGCTATCAAAGAGCGACGTTGTTTTCATTGGGACCGATCGTCCCTTCAAGGCTAGGTCTATACCATCCTAGCTAGTCTAGGCCTAGAGTAGGATAAGGCTAGCGCGACATGCGGACGTTGGTACGAGTAGGTTAGTCTACAAACGTCGCCTGAAGTAATTGATTTTACCCGGCAGAACGAAAGAAGGAAACTCCGCTTTTCAGTCGTCTTAGCCACTCGTTTTTTGACAAACAATGACCTTTCAGAGGTCAAATTGCTGTCAAGAATATGAATTGGCTGCGTCGCAGCAATAAGTTTTGATTTAAAAAAATAAAAATCAAAGGGAAAACTTAAATATTTACATTTTAACCATAAGCAATCATTATGCCAGTATTGAAAGTTTGGTGCGTTAAAGTTGCTGTATAATTAAAAAAAAAAAAAAAAAATCGAAGCTGCGTTTCAAGCGGGCTCTATTCAACTTGACAGTTTGTCATATTTTTGACGCAGTAGCAGAAAAAATTAAAGAAAACTACATTTATTGAATGTTACAAAGTTTACAAAAGGTACTGATACAAATGTTAATTTCCTCCTTATTAATTGTAAGTTAGGACTTGTTCAGAACTATTATTAATTACTATCCATGTTTCGTTGGTTAGACCTATTTTCGACTATTGCAGCCTACTGTACAATTCTATCTCAGTAACACAATATAAGTTTATGTATAATATTTCAATAATCATAGGTATTATAATGTTATTAATTTGGTTCCAAACTCTCTTGAACTTCGTAAAAGGAGAAATGTTTTGATGTAGTCTTTCTTTTTAAGTGTATGAATTTTGTTTTGATACTAATTTAGACCTACTTTCTATATTTTCTCTTAAAATTAATAGACTAAATTTTCACTCTAACGATATTATATTTGTGGTTCCATTTAACAGAGATAATTGCACAAAAAATGGTTTTATTCGTTGTTTAGCTTTTACTTACAGTACATTGTTACATGCAGATCCTATTATCGATTTATTCCATAAAAATTTAATACACTTTTAAAACATTTTATTACATTTGCATGCATTTACATGGTTGATCTGCTTGGCTTTGGGCTGGGATTGATTTTTTTTTTATTGGTGACTTGTGACCCCGTTTCTTTTTATTAGTATTTTTCTATATATCTATATGGTAGTAAAACTATTTTAAGACATATTTTTATTGGCAATTGATTGCTGTTTGATGTGTTTTTTGAAATAAATAAATAAATAATTTCATAGTATTATTGTAATTATATACGTTTGTCTAATTATTTTATTGCATGTAAATAGTGAGTAATTTAGATTCAGGTATAATGTACCTTTCGGCAATATTTTTGTGTCTTACTGTGTTTTGTGTTTTATAATAATACCATGAAATTTACATTCGAATATGTGTAATAAATTGAATTTATAAGGGCCACATAAACGTAAATAGATGTGTTAGTTTGAGATGTATAGAACAAATATGATATTACAATAACAAAGTTAGGAAGAACTAAAATGTTATAAAATGCAAATATGCCGTAATATCATTTATAATTGAGTATTTATTGAAAATATACACTGTATGTTTAGTCATAACATAACGTATACATATACAGATGTGGTATGATCAGTACAAAAAGATAATCAAAGGCGCCATGCGCTTTTTAACTTATACCGATATATTTTATAGCTTTATACATATCAGAGACTCACTAAATTTATTGAAGGCAACAAATAAAAATAAATATGGCTCTTTTTTCTCAATACATTTTTCTTTGGTCTTTGGTTATTTTATCTTATAATTGAACAAGTACAGTCCTCATTGTTTTAAGACTGGAAATTATTGAAGATATGAAAAGGGTGTGGTCAGGTCAAATCAGATCTTGTCTCGTTTAAAGCTTCGGGCTGATGAGATATCTCTTTAAAAAAAACACCAACTCATTTTTATTCCTAGACGCTAAGAAATGTCATGTAGGCCTATATAAAATAGTGAGAGAATTGATCCCTGCGAATTTGTTTGTTTTACAATACATGAAATCTGTATCCCTGTGCTTATACAATAAAACAATACCCAATATAACATATAAATAACAATAAATATAAATATAAATTACTCAAAATACAATAGCACCAAAATCCAACTAACTTAACTAAATAGAAAGACAGTGAAATGGACTTAGGGGTTAGGCATAAAACAACCTCTTTAGTGTTCTGCCGTCATGCAGGTCTTTGGCTGCCAAGGCCTCCACTGGCCTCCACTCTTCCCTTCATTTCCACGTAAGTCCTCTTGTCATTTAAATCGTTTATCACCTTACTATATTTCTTACTCTTTGTCTTTTCTCTTCCATTCGTCCCTCTATGACTTCTTTCAACAAACTCTCTTCCCTTGAAACATGACCAATCCAATTCTTCTTTCTTCTTCTACTGACATAATGCTCTCTTTTCTTCTATACTGGTCAGTACCTCTTCATCTGTCTTTTACCTCAGACCAACAAACTTTCTTTATTCCTCTCCACACCCACATCTCGAAAGATTCCAGCCGTCTAAACATCTTCCTTTAGCAGTGTCCACATCTCTGCTATATAAAGCCACGCTCCACACTACTGTTTTTAAGATTTTCTTTTTAAAATTTATGTTCATTACGGTACCTAATCTAAGACAGTGATTATCTGGAGAATTAATTATTGTAGAGCTGACGTGCGTTGTATGAACGATTATTTTAAACGGTTTGTTTTGACAGCAGTTTGCCGAATTCTTCCTGATCTGTTAAAAGTTATAAGGTAACCACTTGAATGGGTGAGACTCATCCTTTAATATTGTTTCTAATTTCATTAGGGCCGACTTACCACAAAAGCTGTTTATACTTGGAAGCTCCATACTAATTACTTTTCCTGCCACTCTGGTTATTTTCTTAAGTTGATTATTATTTTTTTGTTAGATTGCTAAACCCCACAGGCAATGTAGAGTAGTAGGTTATTTTTGGTATCAATAACTACATTGCACAATAAGACAATATTAATACACCTCTAAATTGAAATCGACACAGTAGTAGTCAATAATTACTACTAACCAAATATATTTGTCAAAAATTAAGTTGGAAATTATTTTTAATTATTATTTTTAGGTCTATTTATGAATGGCCACCAATATTCCAATATCTAGTGTCCCCGATCGGGGAGAGATGAGCGCGACTCCCCAACGAGAGCGTAAGGTGGACGTGCTCAAAATCTCTCGCAAATCTTGTGGTTTAAAGGGCTTATTTCGATGAATGTTAGAGTTTATTGATGTATAAAAAAAATACATATAATTTTTTTCTCTCTGACAAATTGGGTGATTTTTCCAGTATAATCAACATTTAGTAGTTTAGAAAACATTTTTTTCTTTAAGGGATATGATTATTATGTGGTACAACAGCCGAAATCAAAGTTTGGGGAATAGTAAGCATTTAATTAAATATTAAATTTCCAGTGTTGTAGCATAGGAAATACACAAATTAACGGAAATAAGAATAGTTAGATATATAAAAGCTTGATTCATATTCATTTCATCATTTTATTGAAATGTTTTGCTATTTGATTGAAATTGATCGTTTGATTTCCATTTGTATTTTGATATGTTTTAATGTATGATGGGTTGATTCATACGTAACTGTTTTTGTTAAGTATTTTATCTCTCCGTTTTGGAGGTTTTTGAATAAATTGAAATTGAAATTAATTCAAATAAAAGATTGTAATATCTGAACACATGAACACAAGGTGCTTTCTAAAAAAATAAGCCAGATCCATTATTTATTGCCATTATTGACAGAAGAAATGTCATCTCCATTACCGTAAAATGTGACCAATCAACATGATATCTTCAACAATTATTAGTCTTGGGGTGGAATTGATGCAATAAGCTTTTTCAGCGTGATCAGTCACGCGTGGCGACATCTACGCGCAATTTTGCGTTTTACGTAGCAAATTGTTTGATTGGTCATAAATTCATCACCGTAAGGACTTTTTCATTGAAACCTGACACAAGTAATTTTCATGTCAAGTACTATTCATATGCACAGAGCTGTGGAATTGCAGCTCACTACGCGCACGTATGCGTGCGCTAAACATTAAATTTGCTCAAAATCACGTTTTGACTAAATTTGTGTACGTTTCAGGTGATTCTGAGCATTTCAACTGTCGTGCGCGCATTTTCGCGCGCACAGCGCGTGAAGATGACTCAAATTACAATTTTTGACATATTTTGAGTTTCTTACACTGTAATGACATATTTGCATTTTTTTTCAGTAATTTTACGTCTAATAATAGTGCAGTACGCGCACATCTAAGATACGTGTGCATCTGCGCGTTTTTTCAATTTTCAGTCAAAATGAGTCAAAATTGTACCTTTTTTAATCAGTTATAGTTCCTCAGGATGAAAGGTGACCCCCAATTTTTATTACATAATCTGAAAGCACATGAGTTGTAAATATGATTTTATAGGTCACATTATGACGTCATCATATTGCCATCTGAATTCAACAAACTGAGTATTATCGATGACGTCATTTTAAAAAAATGCGAATTTGAGCGTATCTCGCTTATTCTTGGTCGACTGTCTTCCAACTTTGAGTATGTTATAGCTGAGGCAATTTTCTTTCATATATGTGACAATATTTCACATTTTGATGACGTCATCATGGTCAAAATATAGGGTTTTGCCTACCCCCTCATCATTCTTTCATCAAACCTTTGATGACCCCATAATCACCTTAATCATTCGTGATTTCTGAATCATATTTAGTGGGCATAAACTTCAGGTCATGGGTAAATGTTATGTACATTATATTTTAGTGCGCGCGTAATAACGCGAGCGTTCGCGTGCGTCAAAATTAAAATATGCTTTATATCCTGTCTTTTTTAAAATCAGTTATAGCTCCTTAGGATGAAAGGTGACCCCCAATTTTTATTACATATTCTGAAAGCACATGAGCTGTAGATATGATTTTATATATCATAATAGCTGATCGGACATTGTGACGTCATCATATTTCCATCTGAATTAAAAAACAAGAAAAAATTTATATTTCTTTTCTCAAAACGTTGATGACGACAAATTTTGCTCGTCTTACCGTGCGCGTGCGTCAAAAATTACATATGCTTATAATTATGCCTATATATAATCAAATATAACTCCTTAGGATGAAAGGTGACCCCCAATTTTTATTACATATTCTGAGAGCACATGAGTTGTAGAAACAATTTTATAGATCATAATGGTTGATTGGACATTGTGACGTCATCATATTGCCATTTAAATTTTTAAAAAACTCAATTTTTATTTATGACGTCATTACTTTTTATACTCGTTTGAACCTATCTCGCTAATCTTGAATGATTGTCTCCCACCTGTGAGTATATTATAGCTAAATCAATTCTCTTTCAGACGTGTCCCTTTATTTTTCATTTTCATCACGTAAGCATAGTCAAAAAGAATTAATTTTTGGAGCCCTTTTATCTCTCAATCTTAAAAGATGTAAAGAAATAGAACAGA